ATATTAATCTTATTTCTATCTATTACCTCTGCCAGGGCCGACGACACCGGTGGGGCCAAGGGGCACGTTCCACCCACTTTTTTCTAGAGGACCTTTTTTTTTTAAGAAAAATCTTGTTATAGAGGAATTTTTTCACAAGTTGATGATTGTGCCCCCCCATATCAAAACCCGTGTCGTCGGCCCTGCTTGCAGCTCCCACACCCTTAAGATAATGGTTAATGATGTTTTGTGTTGGATTAAATCAGCAACTTTTTTAATGTTATTTAACGACTGTATGTATTCTTTGGTGCATCTACACGTTAATGGTATATACTAAAACGTCATACACCGTCTCTGACTGCTAAACGATTGAGTGATACTTGTTGTTCAAGCAAGATTGAACTCATATAAGAACCAGTTATTCCATGTGTAGGATTGTTAGAAATTGCTTAAGGTTTACCTCTAAAAAGTTATTTTGGTTCCATGATTAAGGTTGAAGCTGGAGATCTTCTAAAGAGCGTTTGTTCATTCAAGTTTGTTGTGACAGCTAAAACATGGCCTAAAATATTAATTCAGAACAATATGAAAAGTAAACCTTTGCAAGAAAAACACTTTAATCTTGAGAAAACAGTAAATGAGCTCAAAAATATAGTGGACTATTTAAACAGCATGAAGAGTGACACTAAATTTAAAAAAGATTTTGTTAATGCTTGAGCTATTGCTGAAAAATTAATATTGAGACAATTTTCCAAGCAGAGTCTTTACCAACGGTCTTCACGAGCATATACCGGTAGGCCACCGCGAAACTTAGGCCATTTTAAAATCGATGACCTTTTTTATGTTAGATGATATTTTATCAATCTTTTTATTTTATGAAAGTTAACTTAATCAAACATATGTTGTGTTTTGCGTTTAAAGCAATTTAAGATATGAATCGCAACACGATGTAAACAACTAATGTTTTTTTCATTTGATGTTTTTATCTTCGTTTCCGGAATGTGAAATTTAATAGAAATTAACTAAAACTGCGGAACTAGGAATATACCCCTATCCATCCTAAACCTAGTACTGCAAGAAAACCAATTTTATAAATGCCGGGCAGCCAGCAACTTGATAATATCAAAGTGAACTTCAGAATTAAAAACACACATTAATATTTCTCGAGATTGAATTTACGATATATAGAGCGAATTTTTTTTTTTTTTCAGGTGCCCCAAAAAGTTTGAAAAAACACCTGTAAAATGAGAACCAGAACATATAATTTAATAAAAGTTAGTGCAAATGTAGCATATTTTAAAATCAAACTCTAGATTAAATTTCAGTCGGATTGGCTGGTTAAGGATTTATAAAAGTTTGAATGTATATTTTGTTAGTTTTTTGCTACTTATACCTCAAAACGTTACTGATTACAGTGAATTCAGTCACCATTTTCAAATAAAGGTTACATGACTGTTCTACTATGTTATACCAACAATTTTTTTATAATTGTTTTATTGCTACAACTACTGTCTTCATTTTATAGACCAAAATATCAATTTACTATTTAAAGCATGGTTTGACTTTGCTTATGTATTGCGTGAAAATATCAGCATTTTCTGAGCTATAAACTACTGTAAAGGACCATGAAAATGTTAAAATAAAAATAAAAAGGCATAAAAATGTTAAAAAATGGTTTGAAAGCTTTTACAAAGATACCTAAACAAAAAAAAAAACAAAAAAATTTAGATAATATAACTAAAATAATTGACAAATAAAAAGATTATAGGGCCAGTCAGAAAAATATTATGAAAAAGAAAACAGTCCTTTGAAGAGCAGTTTAAATCTTTTGTAGAAATGTGTCATCAAATAAAAGTTCTTCTAAATTGTCTAAAGTTCTTGATGGTTCACGATCTAGGTTCACAATGAAAATCAAAAAAATTTGTGAGCTTGCTCTGTCTGAAAAATTGTTTAAGACAGCTTAATGCTTTCCAAGTAAATTGAATATTGCGACGTTAGAATTATCTTGTTCTGTCTCCAAATTTTTTAGTTTTGAGATAAAACGATTTAAAAAACAAAAACTTTAGGAGACGGCGTATAATTTTTTTTTTAACTTACGTTTTTTCCGCAACTTTTTTACTTATAACTTAGGTTTTAATTCAGTAGAAAGACATTATTTTGAGGAACACAACACTATCATTAACTCATTTTTTTCAGAAAGTGGAGATAAAACAAGATAATTCTAACGTCGCGATATGCCAACTGTACAAGACGGAAATCAAAATCAGTAATTCTTGGGTACCACAAAAGCTCTGCAAATTGCATTGAACAATTTTGAGCAGAAAACAAAAGAGTAAAAAAGTTATACTCACTCCTTTGTTTAATTTCAATTCAATACTAGTGAGACCTGAAACAAGGGGCGCAATGTTATGGCCTAATCCTCCAAATTGGTTGTTCAATTCTCTCAAATAAAGTTCAGGTAAAACCTTGAATCTTTAGCAGTGAATAATGGCAGGGCAGCCAAACAAATTGCATCTCGAGTTATTTTTAATAAAGAATTATTTCCAAATAAATATGGGACTATCTAACAACGGATTAAAGAAACTAGTCAGAATTGAAAACCAAACACATTAAGCGGTAAAATAGTAGAGCCAAGTTTTTATAGATTAGGATTTTGCAATTTCTTAAGAGCAGGTCAAAACTCTTGTAATGTTTTCACCAGCAGTGACTTTAAAATTACCAACGGCAAAGAAGATTCTAGTATAGTTTGGGTTGTTTCTCACTGCAATGGTTTATCAAGTCTTGTGAATCATGTCATACAATCTCGCAATATTTCTGGTGAATATTTTGTTAAGCTTGCAATTGATGGTGGTAAAGGTTTTTTCAAGTTTTGCTTAAGCATTGTTGATACTGCTTTAAGGGTTGATACCAGCTCATCGCCTCAAAAACTACCTCTAACTCAAAGAACTGGTACTGGGGTTAAGAGACAAATTCTTATTGCGGTATCAGATGATTTGCCTAAAACTCACTCTAACATTAAACAAACCTTTTCACTGATTAATGCAAATGGAATTAAAATAATTTTGGATTGCGATTTTAAAGTTGCATTTTATATTTGCAACTATCAAATCGCAATCTAAAATTATTTTAATTTTATTATGCAAACAACAATTCAAATTCATTCAAGTATGCATGGTGTGACATTAAATCCAAGTGTCTTGCCGAGTCTGCAAACTTGCGAACACTGGGCTCAACCAAATCTAGTCTCGACTCTTTTTAGAAATCTGAGGGGTTTTTGGTTGTTCAAAATTGTTTAAAAATGTCATTCGAAAGCGATTCATCTGTGGGCCTGACAATATTCTGATTTTGGAAATAATCCTACTAATGAAAATGCATCTCCTTGTAAGAGTTGTCAATCTTCTTTTAAAGATAAAACTACTTGGACAGAAACTGTTAAGCAACAAGCCGCCATCCACATTTGACTGAGCCCATATCATGGGGGCTAGTTCGAGGAAAATGAATGCCGGAAGCTTCTTGAAAATTTGAATGTGCTTCAGCACCTTGCTGATACAAATTCGGTTCAAAACATTCTTCACATTAAAGCATTCAAAGGTTTCAATTTAGTTGTAAAAAAATGCTTTGAATTAATCCGTCAGCAGGGTTTTGCTGAAATTATTAAAAATTTCATAAAGTGTTACTTAATGATAACTGGTGCAATTGTAACACCCAAAATTCACACCGACTTCTACCACATAAAAGATTTCATCAGTTGCGAAGAGTTCCTCTTGGGGCCCAAAACAAACTGCCGAAACTACTTATCAAGACTTTTATAAACATTGGTCAAAGTAAAAAAAAAACGATAATCAGTTAGATTACAAAAAAAGATTGTCATGCTATATATATATATATATATATATATATATATATATATATATATATATATATATATATATATATATATATATATATATATATATATATATATATATATATATATATATATATATATATATATATATATATATATATATATATACATATATATATATATATATATATATATATATATATATATATATATATATATATATATATATACATATATATATATATATATATATATATATATATGTATATATATATATATACATAAAAATTTATATACACGGTTACAAATATATATGGCACACAGTTTTCTGCGAGTTTTCCTTGACTACCTAACTAAAGGTTCATTTTCCTTTTATTTAGACTTATCTCGTCTTCTCAAAATATAAAATGTTTTCTCTTTTACTTTATTGTATTACTTTTTACATCACATATATCTTATTATTGTTTCAGTTATTTTTAAAGTATTTTTATTGTATTTGTAATAAAAGTATATATTGTTAAAACTATGCAGTTGTAAAAATATATATAAAAATTAGAAAAATGTAAACATAAACGAAAACACTAATCAAATAATGCAAGGCTTTTTTTAAGAAAGGACGTGCAACGTTGAAAGATGTTTTGAATAAGAATTGCTAACCTTACCCTTTCCTTTATTTTCCTACAGGGTTATTAGCATCATGAATTACAACTAACCATTTGATATCATCAAATAAGACACTAGAAACATATGAGACTTTTCTATTCCATATTGTATATAACCTCTATGGTTTAAACACATTATTTTTTTTACTTTTTTCAACTAACTTACAAAAAAGAAAGGGTGTACCAATTTTACCTGCTCCAAGCGCTAAATATGTTGCTTCGCCACTGGGTACGTGTAAACAAAAAGTTTATAAAATACAGGAAAAAACAATAAGCAATGACAGTATTATTTCTAAAAATATAAATAAGTTATAGCTTTATAATTATGTTTATAATCAATATAATAAAAGTTTGTTTTAATTGATTTATATAATCAATTACAAGTTGTATAATAAATTACAATTAATATAAAATTCTGAGGTAAATTTCAATGAGTTTTTAATGACATTTGTTGCTTATTGTTGTCATATTTGTATAATGAAATTGATACTCAATGAATGCAATACTCAATGCAATTTAAATCATGAATCAAACTAAAATAAATTCATATTTCTTTCAATAATGTTCAATAAATAAATTTTGGAGGTGGACCATTAGGTAAGCCAATATTTTCTTCAAATAATGCTCTAATATTTCCGGCAGGTTTGTATAGGCACACAACATGAGTGCAACCTCTGTCATCTATTGCTCGACCTACGCCAATTTCTTTAGTTTCTTTCCATATCATTTGAGTAAAGCTTCCTAAAAAATTAAAAAAAAAAAATTACAAAATTTAGAAACAATTAAACATTTTTCTTAATTGTTTAAAAATTTTAGTGTTGCGATAATCACTTTCAGTACTACAATAATCATTAAAACTTTTCATGTTAATTGTACATTCAATGTACAATTAATTGAAAACATTTAATGTAAGATTAACGGGTCGCTAATAAATTACGTCATGCAATTTTCGAACTTTTTGCCTTCCCCATCCCCCCTCGTCACAAAATCGTAACACTTTAGTAACAAGTTCCGTATGAGTCGTCGCAAAACCACTAATCCCCCCTTTTCCCCTGAAAGAGTGCAGTAATTTATGGACAACCCCTAATATGAAAACATTTAACGTACGAATAATATAAAAAGTCTTCGTAAATATTGCAATGCTTATAGTAAAATGGTGAATAGTTATTTGCAGATATAATTATTCACCATTTTACTTTCAGGAAAACATGAATAATTTAGTTTATGTTTTCATGTTTTTGTTTTATGTTTACCTGTTTTCATTAAAGTTTTATTGAAAATTATATTTACCTGTTTTCATTAAAATTTTATTCAAAATTATGTTTACCTGTTTTCATTGAGAAACTCTTGTTATTATAATTGAAATCATTCTCTTCGTTATACCAAATGGAGGAAGCTTCATTTCCTGTAATTCCTTTAGTACAAGCCAGTATATTTCGACCAACATTATCAAAATCAGTCAAAACTTCATTTTTAGCAATAGTCTCGGCAACCTGCTGAGCTTTTAGTGTCAATCCACTGCTTAATGAAAGTGGCTTAGCATTATGCCGACTTCTGTATAAGTTATGTGACGTAAGTAATTCATCACGAAAAACACCATCAGCTATAAAAAAAAAATTGAAAATTTTATTAAAGTATGCAACAGAAGCATACTTTATTTTACTATATGTCTAAAATAATTAAAAAAGATCAATAAATGCTCTTAAGGTTTTAAAACATTTAAAAAATTACATTGTATGGGTCCAGAAGCTTTTGGTAAACTGGAACCCATGCTCGAAGCTCTTCGCAAAGAAGACACATTAACAGGACTATCAGGTGAAATCACTGCTAAATTAGGACGCATACTTAATCGTCTATCGTCTCCATCATATCTACTTATTGACATATGTCGTATTGTAGGAGGTAGAACATTTTGGCTAACTTTTCTTAAGTTATTACCAGGTGGAAAGTATCGAGCGACTATAAATTGCGTCCCATTTGAAGTTGACACTCTTGCAACCCCTACTTTGATAGTACTTTTCCAAACCAGCTGTAAATAGTTAAATTTTTACAAAATCACATTTAAATGTTAAATGCAAAAAATAATAAAATAAAAAAACTTTTAGTAAATTTAGTAAATATTTTAAAGGTACTTGTGTAAAGCATCCAGTTTTCTGCGCTAAACCGTCGTTACTGAAGTCATAGTTATTTATTTCTTTATACCAGTAGTCTACCACTGTGGTTCCAGAAACTTCAATATCTACACAGAAAGAATAAAATTTGAATTTAATGAAACTTGAAAAAGTCCTAAAGTATTGAAATTTTTTATTTTCATATTGAAAAATCATAACATATTTTATCACTTTACAAAACTTGCTTAATAAATTTTTTTGTTTGACTGATTAACTTGTTTTTAATTGAGTTTTTTAACTTAAGATTCTTTTCCTTTATATTAATTGCTAAAGTTAGCTGCAAATCGAAAATAGATTATCTAAATAATAAAAAGTTGTAGTATAAGTTGTAAGATATCAGTGTTGTTATTGCCCTTACTGTTGTAGGCGTTGTTGCTTTTAATCAAGTCAGTTTTGCATTTGATTAAGATTAGTTGCTGCTATCTTAAGTGCACAAATATTTCAGTTCTATATTAACTATTATATAAAATAGGCTCACTGTTAATGCCAATTAATTTTACAGTTTGGCTACATCAATAAAAAAAAAGTGATGTGGTAGGTTATATACTGTGTATTAGCGATTTACGTTTTAAGATGTCTAATGTTAGCTTTGATTAGGCCATATATTTGGCAGACCCAAAGGCCAATAAAAAAATTATCGTGTTGCTACTTTGGTCAATTTCATTAGCTATTTTTATGAGTTAGCGCGAAAAAAATTATTAATCGTTTCATTTTCATTTTGTTTAATTTTGTTGTTTAATCGCAGGGACAAACATAGGGTACGGCATATAAGGCAACCGCCTAAGTAGAAATATTATATTACAATTAAGATGAAATTTACATTACATTTCAAAATTCCAACGGACATTTTTTATTATTCACGGTTTCTGAACTGCGATGCCTACCTTAACTACGACAAGCGCGGGAGTGTTACAAACTATGATTTAGCATAAGTCCAAGGAGTCTGATCCAATAATTTGTGGCCTGGTTATTACTGTTAATGCTAACAACTGCGAGAGTCGCGAGTCGCGTTGTTACAGCTGATTTAAATTTAATTGGTGACTATTTTTTTATAATTTATTTTACTTGTAGTTTATCGCCGGCTGTTAAAGAGAAAATATAAATAAAAAATAGTGGCTTTTTTTATGCATTAGACGAAATAAGTTTTGCCTTATCTGATCTTGGTAACAGGTACGGATTTAAATGACTCTAATTAACGAAAGTTAAATCATGCTACTTGGCTTAGTAAATTACAAACTGCTAGCATAGTTTTGTAATATTTCTGTGATGTTTCTATATGCAAACATATATATTTTTCATATAGATACATTTTTTCTATATATTATAAAAACAAATACTTGTCATCGTAAATTACAAACTGTTAGCATAGTTTTTGTAATGATGCTGTTGTAATGTTTGTATATGTAAACATATTTTTTTAATATAGATTTTGCATGATATTTGCATGATGTTTGCATGATGTCAATTATAACATTAGTAAAATAAGCAAAAAAAATGTTGCCAAAAGCTTAATGCTAAGCAGTAACTGTAATTTTTATACATATATTTTATTATTCAGCCGTATTTTATTTGTATTATACAGTTGATAGCTGGAACCAAAAGAGTTTTTTATTGTTTCAGTTATTCATAATGTATCACCTTCAAGTTACCTTTATTTATTTACAAAAGTAAATAAAGGTAACAAATAAGTTTGTTTGTAAAAGGTTTGTTTGTATTATTTTAATTTATTTTAGATAGCTGCCTCTATAGTTTTGTATTATTAGCTATCGTTGAAAAGTATTTGATAATTAATGTTTTATGGGTTCTTACCTCAATAGAATTGTATCTTATGTTAAAGAATCTAGAAATTGTATCTGTGCAATGTTTTATAGCCACATTCAAATTTAATTATTAAATTTTAATGGTATAATTAGCAGTGGTACGTAAAAATTTTCTTTTAATAATATTTTGAAGATGGCATTATCTAAATCTGTTATTGATCTAAAAATGTGTATTGTGTTCAGTTGGTAGATTTTTTAAAAAACTTTTTAAATTTTAAAAAACCTTTGCATATTTCCTTCTGGAATTACATTGCCAGTGCTATATATATAGACCTTGGCCCTATTGTTTTGGAGGCTTCAAAATTTTTTTTTAAAAGAAAATTTGAAAATAAAATAAAAACTTTAGGTTTTATTGGACCCCAAAAGGTCTTAATCCAATACTGTTCATTGCTATAATACATTATATTTTATATGTAATCCGGAAATAAAAATGTTCAAGGGTAACCAGTTTGTTAATTGATGGTGTACTTTTCTGTCATATGCCTTCAATCGTTCTGAATAAAAAATCGTACACATGAATAGGAATGAACCTTGACGTGGTTCATGTGCTTTAAACAAATACCTTCCAGATTCTTTTAACCTTTATACTGTGAAGGTAGAGCATCAGTGTATATTCTAAATTTAATTTATACTCAAGAAAAAGATATTTTCAAATTTGTTCTCGAAACCCTTGGCTGTACTATTTGTGTTCAGAGAATAGTAATATTTAGGTTATAAGAATCTTTATAAAATTAGTTTTTAGTATTAAAATTGGTTTGTTTACTTTTAGTAATGTGCAATGTGGATTTCAAGAATTAGATATAGGTATAGTTTTAATTCAATTTCATTTTATGGATATTTTTATAGAAAAAAATGATAACCAAACTTAGTAAAGATTTACAAAATACATGAAGAAAAAAAATTTGACTCATTCATAAAACTCTTGTGTGCAAAGTAAACAGGAGGGAGGGAAGATGTGGTTTACAAAGAAAACAAGAGGGAGGGTTGTCATAAAAAGTAAGAATTTTTTGAAAACATGAATTCGCGTAGATAGGAAAAAATATTTACAACAGATAAACTGGTTTAGGGCGTTTCTCTGGCACCTGACAGTAGTTGTGCATGAGACGGCATGGGGTTGTTAAGCTCGATAAGGGAGTTATTCCCATCATTTGAATTTTTTTATTTTACATTTTTTCCTAAACGAAAACTAACAGTTTTTTATTGTATGTAACATGCATAAATAATTCAAACTTGAATTTTTTAAATATTTTTTTCTCTGCTATTTCGCAACGTTTCTCGTAAAAATACTTTTCTTATTAATTTTTTAAACGACAAGATTGCGGTAAAAAAAAATTTAAATATTAATGCTGTTTCGCAATTTAAAAGGCATTTTATATACTTTGAGGATAATTCGACGAAATCTATTAAACGCATAAATTGTATTCTTACAGGTAATTTTATTTTGATTTCAATAATTTATTAATTATTAATACAAAGCGATGCATAACATATCCCAATGTTCAACGAAAAAGAGTCCTTCAAATACAAATTTGTAAACAAAAAATTTTAAAGTTAAAATTTGTTTTAAACTTTTCCTTCGTAAAATTTGTTGATAAATACATCAGTTGGCAAAAGCATTGGAAAAAAAAATTATTTTTTTATATGAAATTGAAGTAAAAGTTTAAACTTTATGCAAATGCAGTATTTAAAAATCTAACCTTTCATTACAGCAATGTTCTCCCCTTCCTGAGTTTGTTCGTCGTAATCAAATAACAAACGCTTTAAGCACTTTTTTGCCCATTTATGTGCGTTTCCTTCTAGTAAGTATGACCATTTTAATTCAGGAACTCCGTGATTTCTCCTATATTTATTATGCTGGTCCAGCACATCTTTTTTGAAAGTATCCTTGTTTTTCATTTCTAAAAGTATTTGTCATTTTTTAGACAGTGTTTAGATGAATTTACATCAAAAGATGTATTTATATAGCTAATATACAGATTAATACAGAATAAAGAGTTTTTCTTTCTTTAAATATCAAAATTTTAAATAAAAAATAATCAATTAAAAAGTTAAAAAGAATCAAAAGTTTCCTCTGCTTAGTAAAATAATAAATAAATAAAGCATATTAAATGCAAGCAAGCAAACTATAAATAAGTTAACACATATTTCTTGCTTTCGGAAATCCTTCTTAGCGCTTTTAACTTTAGCGTGATGTTCTTTATTACCTATTTATAAATTGAGTTTGATGATTAAAAACTTCTTTTTTTACCTTTTAGATTGATGCGATTGATTTGTTACAGATCATTTATTAATTGAGTTTAATGATACATATATCTTACATTATTAATGCTATTGACGTTTATATATTTATTTATTTATATTGCACAGATTGTATTTTTACAATATCTTGTTTTTCACATCAAATGAAGTAAATTATAAAGTGTTTTAAAAATTTATGGTTTATTTACTTTTTATTTAGGTTTTGAGATTTTATTATATTATTACATCTTTTTTATATTATCACATCTTACTACCTAAATATTACCAACACGACAGCAAGTAATTATCGGCTGAAACCCAGTGAGCAAAAGACGTCTAAAACAAATATTAAAACGTATTAATGCGTTTTAATAGGTGTTTCAACCAAAACACGCCTTGTCTCCACCGAGAAGTGAAAAATGCAATTTGATTGCTTCACGACATGTTATTTATGTTTTTACAAACAAATGATTGCAAACTCAAGAAATTTTCATTAATAATATAATGTAAAATAGTATAAAATATTACTTTCTATCTAAAAATAAATGTAATCTTTACGATTTTTTTCATTTACCAAGTAACTCAACTTACTAATTTCATTCATCAGTAATATTTGATTCATTATAATGATGATTCATGAATTTGTCAACTATTTGTTGTCACAAGATAAATTGGTATTTTACTAAATAAAAACATGAAACAACTCACGTTCTTTCTCTTCTCTTTTTTTTTTTTTATAATCAAAATACAAATTTATAAAATAATAAATAAATGCTAATAAAACAATTATATATATATATATATATATATATATATATATATATATATATATATATATATATATATATATATATATATATATATATATATATATATATATATATATATATATGTATTTATATATATATATATATATATATATATATATATATATATATATGTATTTATATATATATTTATATATATATTAAATTTCTAGTAAGATATATGCACTGCTCTCAAGGGTTTCAGTACTTCAAATAGCCTGACTCGCAGTATATATATATTTTTGTGTGTGTAATTTATATAACTGTTAAAGAATGTTTATATTACATTTATATATATCGAAAATAATGACTGGAGCATTAAAGGCACATTTTGCCATATCGCCGAGTCCCAAATATAAAAAAAATTCTACAAAGCAGTAAAACATAAGTATATAAAAAAACATAAATCAGAATTAAAACAGAAAATAACTAAGAAAATAAAGAAATTCAAAAAAACAAATAGTTAAGAAGTGTTAAAATGGACTTTAAACGTTGTTAATTAAAAATTTTTCTTAAAGTGTTAAACACTTTAACAAAACTAAACTACTTACTAAACAAAAAACTTTTGAATAAAAAAATAATAATATAAAATTTCATAATTAACATAATCACTAGATGAATTTTATATATATATATATATATATATATATATATATATATATATATATATATATATATATATATATATATATATATATATATATATATATATATATATATTAGGGATGTGACTATTTTGGTACCTCCAGTTTCCAATATAAAAAACAGATAAACTTTGGTTTGAAAGTAACTGAAAAGTCATTGGTTTTATTTAATTTTTGGAAAAGATCACCCACCATGACCCTTGATTACGCACAAGCTACCATATATCAGTGAACTTTTTTTTCCAAAAGTATATCAACCTGAGTCTCAGGTTGATATACTTTAAAAAAAAAAAAGTCAAAAAACTAGAATTTCATAGAGATTTCTGAAATAATAATGGTTTCAAATAAAAACGAATTGCTAAACTTTATACACAAAAAGCAACAACTTTTAACTAAAAATTGAAAACTTTTTAGGACATTTTGTTTGCAATATTTTTAAAAAAATGTTTCAGTAGAAAAGATTATGAATTTTGAAATCACTATAAAATTCTGGTTCTTTCGACCCAGTCGAAAGAACCAGAATTTTATAGTGATTTCACACAAACGTCTATTAAACGTCAAAACAACGTTTCGACAAAACGTTTAGAATTGGTCGATTATTCATTTAGAATGAAATTCAGATTAACTTTCAGAGCAAACATCCATAAAACGTCTATATTCAAACGTACTTTAGACGTCGATTATAGGATTATTATACGTATACAAAGCGTTTAGATTTAGTTTAAGTAAGCTTGAGTTATTTTTTGAAAAAAGTTGATGACTTTAATGTTGCAACTGTTACATACTAAATTATATGATAGTATTTCACATTTCTGGAAAGTTTAAGTCATTTCCATTTTTGGTTCATTTTTAATAACTTAAAGAGTGTCAAACGTTACAACCGCCACTCTCGTGGAATTGCCCATTTATTTGTTTATTTGTATATATATATATATATATATATATATATATATATATATATATATATATATATATATATATATATATATATATTATATATATATATATATATATATATATATATATATATACAAATAAATAAATAAATGGGCTATTCCGCGAGAGTGGCGGTTGTAACGTTTGACACTCTTTAAGTTATTAAAAATGAACCGAAAATGGAAATGACTTAAACTTTCCAGAAATGTGAAATACTATCATATAATTTAGTATGTAAAAGTTGCAACATATATATATATATATATATATATATATATATATATATATATATATATATTTACAATTAAGCCGTGTTTCTTACTGATATTTTTGAATAAGAATTTAAATAGTATGATTCATGTTAAATGGTAAAAAAAAGTTTTCAAGCAATCAAACAAGTAAAAAAATTCAAATTTTATAGTTTTGCATAATTTTTACAACTAATTAAAGATATAACAATCCGTAGTGTCAAACAATCCATGATGTCACACAATACATAATGTCACACAATCTATGTTGTGTGTTGTAAAATCCATGGTGCACAATTTTAAACAATTAGTATTGTTGCTGTAAAATAAACAAGAAATAATAATATGCAAAGTTAAGTTTTTTTTTGCTTAAAAATTTTTACAAAACAAAATGAAATAAATTATCATGACTTAAGAACATAAAAGTTTTTTTACAAATTGTAATAGAATTGTTTCAATGCAACAGTGATTGTAACAATATGCAACAATAAATTGTATGCAACAATAAATTGTATGCAACAATAAATTGTATGCAACAATAAATTGTATGCAACAATAAATTGTATGCAACAATAAATTGTATGCAACAATAAATTGTATGCAACAATAAATTGTAACGCTATACAACAATAAATTGTAATGCTGTTGTTGCTATGCAACCCATTGTTTATTTTGAAACGCTCCAAAAGTTCCGGATTACTAATGAGTGTTGATTACTTGCTAAAATTACTAATGAGTGTTGACTACTTGCATAGATTATTATTTTGCTATTCACCTATTTTTGATGAAAGATCAAAAAGTAATCATTTCTCTAAAAAGCCATTGGTTTCTTAACATACCTGTTTTGGGGTATGGCTAAATGATACCTGTGATTTGGTAATTAAATGATACCAAAAGATCAAAAGTTTGTATTAAAAGAAAAACTTTCTCTATCTTGTTGTTGATGAGAAATAGAAGAGATAAAGTGTTTGGCCTATCAAGTATAATTTCAGTTAATTTTCAAGTTCGACTGTTTTGCCTGGGTTGTCTTTAAAATATGTCACGCAATTTTCGACAGTTTTGGACCCCTCATCCCCATCTAGAAACAAATCGCCATGTTTTTCTGCCGCCCCCTCCTCTGAAATTATGCAACAAATTTGTACCCAGCCCCTCGACATTTTTTTTGTGGTTTTAAATACGATATTTTTAATTTTCTTAGCTGCTTTTAATTATCTTATGAATACATTTTTAATTATTACTATTTAATATTAATTTGAAAGATATTATTGGTACGCTCGTGCAAATAATAAGTCCACAAAAAATTTATCATTTGAGCTCAAAAAATTCAAACTTCAATAATTTAATTTTGAAACTTCCATATATATTGGCGTAGAGCTTTACTTATTTTGAAGCGCGGTAAACAAGGGTCATGGTTTAACATCTTTCAGAGAAAGAATTTTTTGATTCATATGTTTCATATATTTTACCTACTATTGTTGTTTAATTATAAGTATAATTATTTTTTACTTTAATTTTTAAAGTTTTACAGAATAATAATCAATTCGTACATAAATTTACTAACAATATTATTATCGTCAATTTATATTCAATGTACTCTTTTTGCATTCCTATTATTTGATATAAAATTGTATAAATTAGCAGTGACTAAATGAACAAATAACCTTCAAAAGATATATTTAATTTTTGATAAATATATATTTTAAATAACTTCTTTAACAATAAGTTAGTGTCGCGGTACAAGTTATTCTAACATAACATGTTTTATGCAAATGCGTATTTTTGTTATTTAACAATTATTATCTTTATTTAACAATTATATTACTATTAATTATTTTTTCATCGACAATATATCAGCTATATCGTTGGTTGATAAAGTCGTATTCGCTGCGGAGTATACATTAATCTACAAAAATTCAGTCAATTTAATAAATCAATTCTAATGTATGTTAAATTGTAATAGTCGCACTCGATTGTAGATCAGTTGCCGGTTTATATTTTAGGACTGTTTTAGACTGTTTTAATCAATAGAAAAGATTTTCTAGATTTGAA